ACTCGAGACCCATTCCCTGCCCCCCAACCCCCCTCCCTGATTCGCGGCGGCATCGGCCGAAAGTTCTCGGCCGGCCCGGCCGCGGCCGCGGCCGGGGGCGTCCGGGCTAGGATACCGTGGCCATCATCGAGCCTGCAGTTCAGGTTTGCTTCGCCATGGGATGCAGTGTTCTTCCACGAGTGACGCCGAGGTGGTGGATGAAAAGGAGGACGGGGGGGACGTGGGAGGATCTCAGGCAATGCGATGATGCGACGGAGGAGTACTTCTTGCAAGTTCTTGGAGAAGCTGCATATGTCGCCACATGTCTTTCGGGCGATGGCGATTGCATCCGGTGTGGATGAATTCCCCCGGGATGCGCTGCTGAGGTCGATGTCTACTGCTGTCGGTGTCGATCCCTCGTCTTCTTTGCTGGGTCGTACGCCCAGCAACAACACGTACGACAGGGCTGTAATTCTACGACGACGGTGAGGGTCCACCGGATGGCGGCAATGAAGGGAGCAGACGGTAGAGGAGAGCATACGACACACGCACTCTAATGGGTCGTACGCCCTTGAACTGCGAGCTGGGCCGTGGCCTGCGCGGTGGCTTCTGGAGTGGTCCACTGAAGACCTGCTATTCGCCTGCTGCCCGTCCATGCTGACGTCCTTCTTCGCAGACCGCCTCCTACGTGTACGTCCAGGCACCCTGCCGAGGATGCAGACGTGGAAGAAGACGACAACGGTAACCGTTGGTGACGGAGGTTGTCGACCAGTGTTCTCCCTCTCTGTGTCGCCAAACGGAACGGAAAGGGGTTGAACGGTCGACAAATTTGAATACTTCAGCCGACCCCCGTTGCTCCGATTGCCCACTGTATTCTGCAACGAAAAAACGTTACAAGGCATTTGTCCCATGCTGCGGTCTGCTGTTTGCAGCTGGAGGTGTACCGTCATCGTCTAGCTACTGCCCTACCCCACTTGCCTTTCATGGCCGACGTCTTTCGAAGGCTGCGGCTGCTGCTCCTGGTCATCCTTTTGCTTGCCTGGAAGCCGAACGTTGAAGACCGACGATGTCCGTGCGCTGCCCGTTAGGAACTCCAATGGACCAGCCGACCAAAATTTATTGCCGACGACGGGTGCCCTCACCGCTCTGATTATCACGAATCCTTGACCTCCAAGGGACCTCGGGAGGTCCCTTGGGGAATGCCACCAAATGGCTGTAGCCCAAGGACGCCCTGAGGATTCCCCAAGGAAATGTTTTCACATTTTGTTTTTGTTTTCATCCCCGAGGATAGGTGGAACGAAAGGTGGAACGAAATTTTCCTCGGTGCCCGAGGAGTGTCTAATGAGCCCCAAAAGTGGCAAGCTCCAAACGGGGTTACTGTATCAAATGTCAGCGGCCTGGTGTCCGCGGGGAAGGGCATTTTGCTACCACCTCCGGAGGTGGGAGCATTTTTTTTTCCTTCAGTTCCAGACTTCGTGAAAGAAAACTCGAAACGAACACTTTGTTGAAAAAAAAAAAGTTGAAGGATTTGGGGAATTTTAAGCCTCCCACTGTGTGGTCCCACGGGAGGCACCACCAGAAAGTCCGGCTCGTGTCTTTTGTGATTTGTTGCCGTTATGTGACCAGGCGGGGGCATTTCAGCAAAATATGGATCATCGCAAAATTCGCAGATTTTGCTGCTATGCCACCCCTGTGTGAGTACGCCCCAGTAAACCAAGTTAAACTTTTAGAAGCAGTGGTAAGTAGAGTCTGGTAGACAGTGAAATATGAAATTGAGAGAATATAGCTTAGTTTTTCAACAACAAAAATAAATCAATGAAACAAGTGCGGTAGTACCACACTTTCAAACTGTAAAGGCAAAAAACACTAATGGGCAATGGAAAAATGGCCGTAGTTCGAAAAGGCAGTCATAACATCAGAAGGCGGTGATGTTACCCCGAGTTTGAAAAGGGCGGTTGTAGCACCCTTTGTTTGTTTGTTTGTTTGTTGTTTTTTTTTTCTCGGATGCGCATCCCGCCACGCCGCGCCGTGGCTGGAAAAAAAAAGGCCACATGGTTGGGCCATGGGCGAGATGTCTCGGCCACACCCCAAATTGGGCCATGGCCGAGATGTCTCGGCCACACCCCAAATTGGCCACGGC